GTTAATAAGAGATTTGAAAATTTGAAGCAGGAACCACTCTGCTTATTTAGAATCTTTGAAATAAGTAAATGGCAATTTGATGTTCAGCAGTTAGCTTTGCATGGTCTATGTGAGATCAGAACACTTATGTCTGAATATCTAAATGAACACTTTACTGAGGTTAAAATTGAAGAAATCCTTGGACAGTTTGCTGATTTCAAAGTAAAGTGTAGGCATTTGAAAAGTGAAAATGTTGTTCAAGTCATGTCTAGCTACATATTACAAGAATCAGTTAAGGACACAGCATTTGCTAAGCTGGTTGAGTGCATAATGTCAATTTCTGTAAGCACAGCTAGTTGTGAAAGGGGGTTCTCACATATGAAAACTGTTAAAACAAACTTGAGAAGTATAATGACACAGTCTCACCTAAAGAACCAGCTTCTTGTTATGAATGAAGGTCCAGAGTTAACACAATTTAAACCAGAGGCCAGTATTGAGCACTGGTTGTTGTTCAGTGAAATTACCAGGCATGTCAATCATCACAAATTGCCTGGAACAAGGTCAAAGGACAGAATTCAAAACATGAACATTCAGGATGATAATGACAATGCTGTCTTTGATGTCGAATTCCAAAAAGATGTCTGAAGATCCTTGTTATAATTAAACAATAAAACATAACTTCATTTGATTACTTTATTGAATAGTGTATAATGCCCTTTCAAAACATGACACCCAGCCTGTATTATGCAGCACACTATGATTTGTAAGGGATATTCGGGCTAGCAGGTTAGTTTTGATTGGCTAGCAGTTCTTGGAACAGAGCTAGTAAAATCCTGCTGCCAATAAGTCCTGGGCTAGTTAGCTGTAACAAAAAAATTTAACCCCTGTCACACAATATTTCACAAAAAACAAATATAGTAAACAGTAGTCATGCCGTAGTAAGGCTGATATAAAAAAGAAGATGTGGTATGATTGCCAATGAGACAACTCTCCACAAGAGACCAAATGGCACAGAAATTAACAATTATAGGTCACCGTACGGCCTTCAACAATGAGCAAAGCCCATACCGAACAGTCAGCTATAAAAGGCCTCGAAGTGACAATGTAAAACAATTCAAATTGAGATGACCAGGGCTAAATTGTTTTGCATCATACCCAGGTATTCCAGCTATTGAAATCTAAATGAATACATTACATTTTTTGGACTAATTAGTTATCAAAAGTACCAGGTGTATAATTTAGTACGCCAGATGCGCGTTTCGTCTACATAAGACTCATCAGTGACGTTCATATCAAAATATTTGGAAAGCCAAACAAGTACAAAGTTGAAAAGCATTGAAGACCCAAAACTCCAAAAAGCTAAGGTTATTCCTCTTTCATAATTAGTTCACAGTTTTGCTCAAATTAACGGTTGCATTACATTGAAAAAAAGTTAAAATTATACCTTTACCTACTTTTTCTCAAAGGTACACACTCCATATCCAGAAATCAACGCCACTTTGCTTATTTGAATATTATACTAAAGAAATCGGATACTGGTCACGGAAATTATATTGAAATGATAGGGAATCTTGAAAAAAATGTCTGTTTTAACTTTAATTTAAGTGATAGACAGGTTGCGGGGACAGAAAATATACACAACAATATGCACCATTTAAACGAAACATAATGACTGTCGTTGCAAAAATCAAGGTTCCTGAGCTATTTTAAAAATCGGAGCGAGAGGCTTTTAACATTGCAGTATAAAATACAGGCTAAAATGGCTGAAACGACAAATTTGCAAACTTCGTGTTGAAAATTGGCTAACAAGGTCATTACAAAAACAGGTTGCGGGGATGAAACTTGAAACTTGAATGTCCAAAGAATAAGCAAGTCCAAACCTTGTATGTGTAGTCGTTGAACTCTAGGTTCCTACGTAAAGTTAAAATGCCCCTATTTCAAGAAGAATAAACTCACGAAAACACGAAAAAATTCACTAAATTCGCGTTCATTGTTTTGATTTTGACCGCCTGATAACTTTACAGAAATATGAGAGTGATTATAAACAAGGACTCTGTGAAGGGCAACTTATAATATCCGTGTTTTAATGATATCAAGCCAGTCCAGTTCAAACTATTATCACGTGGTACAATTCTCATTTACATATTATGAATATTAATTAGCACAAGCACTACTAATTTCTGGCTATGCTCTATTCCCTGTTTCACAAATTGTTCTTTCTGATCTTTCATAAGAGCAACCAAAGGAGATACCACCAAAACAACTGAATTCTCTATTTTTTTCACTTTCCTGAATAGTTCAGGAAGTATTGAATAAATTACAGACTTCCAAATTCAGTTGGCAACACCACAAACACGTCATGACCCTCTAACAAATACTGAATAGCTGTCTTTTGGTGTTCTTTTAGTTGAAAATTGAGTTGTATATTATTTACTATGGAGGTGGCCATGTTGGATTTTGTTGGTCACAATTTAATTTGGATACCTACGCTAGTTTTTCTATGTCAAGGGAAAATCCAAAATGTTCCGATTCTGCGACAAAAATCCTTTATCAGATCAAAGAGGAATAACTCTCATAAACAGTTTTCAGTTCACAGAAACCGCGACATCACAATCGGCGTAAAACATACATCAGAGGGATTTGTCTTTAACACATTTTCTTCAAGATGGAATTTTACTTTCTGAAACATTGTAAACTTATCATTTCCTAATTGCATTCGAAATCAGTTATCATCATATCCTATGTATTGAAAGACATTGAATGGTTCTTTCTTTTTTATTTGTTTATGATGGAATGATACAATGATTCATTGAAATTACAATAAATATAACTGGTGCAGTTACAGTTAAACTAGTAAATGAACGTATAAGCTGACTGGCAAGCTTCCGAGGTAGTTACAAATGGACCGAGTACTCAATTTGCCGAGTTGACTGAAAAAAATGTTTCTTCAAAATAGATAATAGTCTATACAGATCATTCAATATATTGAAATATTAAATGTAATTGAAGAATGACTATGCTCCGAAGTCTGCATGCCTTTTTTTGGAGAAAGAGGGAAAATCTCCCCAACAGCTCTATAACAGAAGATGCAAAGGACTTCATTAAACTTGGAGTCGGTAGGCAATTAAGATATATAGATTCCACCACTGCAACAAGTGTGTTACGATATTTCTCCACTTGAGACAGTTAAATTTTAATATTAAAAGCGCGAGGCTTGCCGAGCTTTTTAAATAATTAAAATTTAACTGTTGAGAGTGGAGAAATATCGTAATTAATACACGAGTTATATTGGTTGAATCTGTTCCTCTAATGATTTTTATCCTTCCATTTCAAATATTTGCAAAAAGTTGTGTTCTTTATATGTGACGTCATCAGGCATGGTCGCCTTTTTCCATGACGTCACAATAGGAAATTCAGAAGAAACCAAGAAAATTTTACGTCATAATCAAATTTCGACCAATCATTTAACGAGAACAGATATTTCACTAGTGAGGAGAACAATTTTTTCACAATCGATTGGGAAATGTGAAAATAGTGAAAAAAATTTGAGATATTATTTTCCTTGGTCGTCAATCTGTTTTATGTCATATATAAAGGTTTTAGTGTCCCCAAAATTTGTTTCATACATGGTAGCCGATATGTTCCTAATGACGTAACTATAATCCCGTCCCCTTTTCCTGAATGTTATCTACCGAATTAGACGTATTACCAGGTGTGTACTAACATGAGCAACACGACGGGTGCCACATGTGGATCAGGATCTGCTTACTCTTCCGGAGCACTTGAGATCACCACCAGTTTTTGGTGGGGTTCGTGTTCCTCAGTCTTTAGTTTTCTATGTTGCCATGGCGTTGAGAGTTTATTTTCGACTTATGAGTTTGAATGTCCCTCTGGTATCTTTCGCCTCTCTTTAACATATCTTAAATTAATCAATAACCTCACACAGATCCATTTATTTATATAATCCTAGAGCTAATATAGTTCTTTAACTTTTTATATCGACAAAACTCTATTCTAGATAAGTATACTCAATAAGATTCGGTCTTATTAGTCAAAAGTAAAAATAATCATGATACATCTAGATAAATGCACCTCTAGAACAAATAGCAAACGGAAAAATCTCTCTCTCTCTCTCTCTCTCTCTCTCTCTCTCTCTCTCTCTCTTAAATCTAGACAGACAATCATATGTGTTTTATATATCTGCTATGGCATATTCTATTGTTCATATATTATAGTTATATGTTATATCATGTTACAAATATTTATTTATCTGTCGCTAGCCTTTAAGAATAGATGTTGTGTAAATATATATTATCATTGTCTTTTTGGGATTTTTTTTTACCTTACATTATTATGAGCCCTTTTTGTTAGCATACTGATCAAGATAAAAAATAAAAAGGGGGTGATGGATTAAATACACAAGAAGCTAATTTAGGAGCAACATAATCTTGCCCGATTAAGGATTCTCTGTGTTTTTTTTTATAAATATGGTAATGATTTTTCTGCATGTGTTATGTGTTTTGTATGGGTCACTGTCTCTTGGTACATATCTTACATTTTCTTTCATTCGTTTTACAACTTTCAAAAGCTCAAATTGATCCGATTACAAATAGACACCCACAGACTTCAGGCTTGATAACTGGGACTTTTTAAAGCAATAAAGAATTCATTTCCCATGCGTAATCCTTTACATACACAATTGCATTAACATTGCCATAAAAGAGTGACCAGGAGGATTTTTTCCCCCATTCATTTAATAGAATTCAAATAGCTTTTAAATACCGAATGCTTCTCATAGGTCAATTATATGCAAAATTTACATATCTGCTACCTTGAATTATTTCCGAATATAAATGTAGTAACAACGGTTCAATCTGAGGCTCATATTATTAAAGTACTACATTCAAATTTATTGCACGGGTCTAATACCAAAAAAGACCAAATAATAAATCCGATCAGAAGACAAACGATTTTGTTTATCTGGATTTCCATATACAATTCGTTTCTTTAATCATGTGACTGTGAGGACAATTTGTTGATAGTTCACAGTCCGACCAGATAAGTAACTCAACTTTGAATTTGTCGCACAAGGTAAGACAGCGGAACTAAGTATTATTTCAGGACGTACGTATGACACCAATATATTATTGTTAAACTGTACAATAACGAGTGATATTTATAGTATTCAATCATCAATTGTTTTGGTCTACTTTCTGTTACGCTTCTGTTACATGTAATAGTATGGTACACTGTTTGTGACTATTTCTAACTGTTGATTTATTATTATATAAATGACAATAATAAGAATGCATCTACAACAAATAAACCTGGTTTTTTATAAACACGATACACTAAAGTAAGATTATATATTTTTATGGATTGCCTAGTGTTGTGAATACGGAAGCCCGTTAAGGAAAAATGATAATAAAAAAAAAAGAATAACTCGCTATCATTTTTACCAATATGCCCATTTTTTTTTTTTTAATTCTTATTTTAACAAAACGTGACAACTTATCTAATATTACATGTATACTATTAGGCACTATATGATAACGTTACCTGGTAATTGACTAACGTTGTGTATATGGAGGCCCGTTTTGAATAAAATAATAAAAAAAAGGATTAATTCGCTATCATTTCTAGGCTACCAACAGGACCAATGTATAAGGTTTTTTTAAATTTATTTTAACAAAATGTTACAGCTTATCCAATATAAGGCACTAAATGATTTCGGTACTGGGTGTTCGCTACTCTCCAATGAAAACAAAAATGAAAGATATACCAATTCATAAGCAGTCTCGAATCAAGGATTTTTAAAGGGGTGTAATTCCCGATGATTGGATGTATATCGGCTAGTGGAGCAATTTTTGTTTTTGGGTATATTGGACTCTACTTTCCGTCCAAGCATTTGTCTGTTTACATGAATACGGTTGTCTTTCCTTATATAAAAATAAGGAGATGTGGTATGATTGCCAATGAGACAACTTTCCACCAAAGTTAAACGGAAGTGGATGTAAGCAATTATAGGCAACCGAACGGCCTTCAACAATGAGAAAAACCCATATCGTATGGTCGGCTTTAATAGGCCCCGAAATGAAAGTTATGAAACAATTCAATTGAAAAAACTAATAATGTCAATCTAGAGAACGTCGTAGAAGTAAATTGTTGATTTATACTTTAAATCATACTACTTGAATGTGTATGTATAATTTCACGAAAAAGTCCAACAGTGATACATTTAAACCTTCAAATAAGCTAATATAAACTTACATTTCTAACCAATTTTAAAACAATCGTTCCTGACACTTGAAATTAGATGGGACCGTAGTCCTGGTACAAAATAATATATGACGGAGTGCAACATGTGGATTAGGATATGCTTATCCTTCAGGGACACCTGAGATCATTACTTGATTTTGATAGGGCTCGTTTTGCTAAGTTTTTAGGTTTTTAAGTGTTTTGTAGACAGTTTTCCTTTTTTGCCATGGTGTTATTCTTTTCTCTTTGAATTATGAATGTGAATGTCTTTTCATCCTAATGTACCTAGAGAGATTTATCAAACTCAAAATTTCCATTTTATTTCAGCATGGCAGCCAGTGGAAGGTTGTGTGATATTTGTGAAACCAGGGACATTACAGTATTTGCCACTGACTGGTGTCCAGAATGTGAGCAAAGTCTTTGTGAATCATGCAAATCTCATCATTCTGCCGCCAAACTGAGTAAAACTCATGAAACTATTCCTTTCGAATCTTTTGATAAATTACCTTCTGCTGTAAAAGACATAAAGAATGACTGTCCTGATCACAAATTAAGATTTGAATATTATTGTATTCAGCATGAATTACCCTGCTGTGTTGAATGCATGAAAATAACCCATTCAGAATGCCGACATTTAACTCCAATGCATAAAGTCGTTGAACATTTCAAAACCTCAAATGCTCTTTCAGACTTTGAGCAAACATTATCCGATTTACTCAGCAACTTAAATTCTTTGATTAAAAGCCGATTTGATAATATATCGGTTCTTGCCGACGAGAAAGGTAAATGTTTGAAAGAAATCACAGATACCAAACTAAACGTCATTGCTCAACTTGATACACTTGAAATAAAACTTAAAACCCAAATAGAAGTTTTACACGGAGAACAGTTGCAGGCAATTGAAGAAACGATAAAAAAGTTCGAAGTATTAAAAACAAATGTTGCAAAAATGCAAGAAGAAGCTGATGTTATTAAACAGTATGCATCAGATTTCCAATTGTTTATAGCATGTACAGAATTAGAGAGCACAGTAAAGAGTTTAGAGAAAGATGTACAATTTTTGATGAAAAAAGATTCAGCAAAGCAAATTTCAATATCGTTTTCTCCCAATGTCGAGCTTGCAATCGAAACATTGTTGCCATCCCTTGGTAATGTGAATGTGATCACCAAAGAATCGGACATCAGACTGGTCAACCACAGGGGAAAACAGGCACAACTTCTGGCAATTGGAACGCCTTGTATTGAAAAAATACAACTTAAACCTGTACTTGAAAACGTACAATTACCAAGTGGAAAAGATAACAAGCTTACTATATTGGATAGTTGCTTTCTATCACACGGAAGATTTGCTTTTTCCGATCAACCTAACAAACGCTTAATTTTATTGAAAGAAAACGGTGATCGTGATAGGGACATACAACTATCATTTATGCCAAGTTCTATTGCATATATCACAGATAACGAAACTGCAGTGGGCAAATATAAAACTAACGAGATCAATATAATAAACATGACCACTTCGTCAGTTGATCGATCCTTTGTAGTTAAAAATTATGGTACATGCGCGTTTTCCTTTAGGAAAGGCCAATTTCTTGTAACAGTTCTTCGTGTTGGATTTTGTATAACCGATATTGAAGGAAACATACTTAGTGAAATACCTTATTATCATGACAGTCACTCCGATATTTTGTTTGCAGTGTTACTGAATGACAAAATATATTTTTCACAATTTTCAAAAGATCGGATCGTTTGTTGCGATTTAAAGGGGAATGAAATTCGTGAATTTAAGGACAAGAAATTAAAAGAACCGTTGGGAGTAGTATACAATGACAGAAACGTTTTGTTTATCACAGGATTTCGATCAAAGAATATATATGCTCTATCGAATACTGGAAATGAATTTAAAGAATTGTACTGTAACAACAATCTATCGGCAGCTAGGGCAATTAGCTATGATTCTAGTAACCAACAGTTGTTGCTCTCGACTCAAGGTGGCAACATTTTCTTATTTGACGTCAATTATTAGACAATTACGGCAAATTATTATACATATGTCCGAAAGAAGTTTTCATTCGAATAGTTTATGTAACTACTTTTTATAAAGTTATCTCCGTGATTTCATCCATCAGAAAGTTTGTAACGACTGAAACAATTTTTAAGAGAAGAATTGTAAACAGTATAGCACTCATGTCACTTTATATTTTCTGTGTTTTTGTTAAAATTAAACTGTTAAATTCGACAACTTAATTGGGTAACGAAAGTGATTCTCATGTTTAGTCTGTAGAAGTTTATAGTTGTCATGGTACAATCCAACCTGTAGACAATGTTGGTGCTGATACAAGTATTAAATAGATACAAAGTACATTCTTATTTCACTTTTTCAGCTTATGAAATATACACAATGTATCATTAAACAAAAACGAAATATACAACTCCATCAAGAACAGGAAATTTAGACATTTTTATACGACCGCAGGTAGTATTATTTTATGGTGTTGTCTGCGTCTGCGTCTGAAGACATTTTAGTTCGCAGACAATAACTTAAGTATAAGAACATGGATCTCTATGAAATTCTAGCTCAAGGTTCCATACCAGTAGAGGATGGTTGCGATTGTTTTTCGGGACTATTGTCCTTGCAGTTTTGTAAAAAGGTCAGTTTTACTGGTTCATGGAAAATAAATTGGTTCGCAGACAATAACTTTATTGTAAGTGTATGGATGTGTAAGAAATTTTAGTACAAGGTTCCATACCACAATAGGAGGGATGGGATTGATTTTGGGGGTTATTGTCTGAGCTGTTTTATAATTAAGGGCCAAAAAGGGGCCAAAAACAAATATTTGTCTGGTTTTAAGACAATAACTTGAGTATAAGAGATATTTATTTCGTCAAAATTTTAACACTAGGTTCCACACTCAAATAGGAAGGTTGGGATTAATTTTGGGGGTTATTGTCATAGCTGTTTAGAAGTAGTGGCCAAAAAGGGTCTTACAAAAACAATTTTTTGTCAGGTTCGCAGACAACAACTTAAGTATTCGTGTATGGATCTTTATTAAATTTAAGCACCAGGTTCCATACCACAATAAGAAGGTTGGGATTAATTTTTGGGGTTATTGTCGTAGCTGTTTAGGAATTAGGGGCCAAAAAGGCCTAACAAAAACAACTGTTTGTCGGGTTCACAGACAATTACTTGAGTATAATTGTATAGATCTGTATTAAATTTAAACACCATGTTCCATTCCTCAATAGGAAGGTTGGGATTTATTTTGGGGGTTATTGTTGTAGCTGTTTAGTAATTAAGGACCAAAAAGGGGTAAAAAACAATCATTTTTTATGTTTCAGGACACTTATTTGTGTATTACATGTAGCGTATGGATTTCTATGAAATATTACTACAAGGTTCCATACTTCAAAAGGAATGTTGGGATTGGTCCAAACTGTTTAATAATAAGGGGCTGAAAAGGGGCCAAAAAACTAGGATTTTTTAATTTCTGGACAATTACTTAAGTATAAGTGTATTCAATTGTGCCACAAGGTGTTATACCATAAAATAAATTTTCGATTGATTTTAGGCGTTGTGACCCTATTGGTTTAGTTAAAAGGGACAACACCAATACTTTGTAGAAATTGCTTATTTTTTTGCAATTTCAATGGGGTTTAATTCAAAAGTCAGGAATTTTTGGGAGTTTTTAATATGCTGAATCTAATTGGGTATTCAATATTTGGATTTTAGCGTCTGTTTTTGAAACGATTCATATTAAGGTCCAAAGGGTCCAAAATTAAACTTTTTTTGATTTCTTTAAAAATCAAATTATTGGTGTTCCTTGATACGCTGAATCTAATTGTGTATATATATATTTCAAATTTTGAGGCTTGTCTTCAAATTGGTCTACATAAAGGTCCAAAATGTCCAAAATACAACTTTTTTTTATTTAAAAAAAGATTGAATACTTGTGGTTCTTTGATATGCTGAATCTAAACGTGTATTTAGATTTTTTATTTGGGGCATGATCGGCCCATATTTAGGTCCAAAAGGTCCAAAATTAAACTTTGTTTGATTTAAAAAATAAAAAAAAATGGTTGGGCTCTTTGATATGCCGAATCTAAGTGATATTTATATATTTGATTTTGGGCACAGTATTCAAGATGGTCCAAGTTGGGGTCCAAAATTGAACATTGTTTGATTTCATCAAAAATATAATTGTTTGTGTTATATGATATGGTCAATCTATCAGTGTTATAGATTTTTTGATTTTGTGCTTGGTTTTTAAAGTTGGTCCAAATTTGGGTCCAAAATTAAAATTCAAAAATTAAATCATTGGTGTTTTTTAATGTGTGCAATCTAACAGTGTTTTAATTTATTGATTTTGGGCCCGTTTTTCAAACTGAACCCCCTAAAAGTCCAAAGTTTTCAAAATAAAATTTAGTTTGATTTTAACAAAAAATGAAACATTGTGGTTATTTGATATGCTGATTCCAACCATGTATTTAGAATTTGAATATTGGACCATAATTGGTGAATGTCTTATTTTAAAATTATTTAAGAATTTATACCACATTCATTCTGTGTCAGAAACTATGATGTTATTACACATTTGCTCAACAGGTCAACTATATTTGGTGTATGGAATGATCACATTGATAATGTTAAGTTTATGTGATACTTGAAGTAAAACCTTCATGTTACAGACTTTCAACATAAAATCAATGATAAGTAAGACAGGCGATGGTGTAAAACCATCAAATCATAGTAGGTCATATCCGGTTTCATGCTAAAAGGGGTCGACAAAAATATTCCCTTGATTTTGAGGGATGTAGGATTCAACCATGCATTTTTTCTAGGTCATAAACATATATCTTGGATGTTTCAAACTAGTATTCTTTTTTATTTGGTGTTCCAATTAACAGATTAACCATTTTGAAACTTGAGGTAGCATGGTTACAAAAGCTTATAATCAGGGGTAGGTGAAAATGAAAAATTGCTTGGTTTATTTCCAGTGATGGTTATTTTTTCATATGTGGGTGAAATGTGTGGAAGTTTTACTATAGCATTGGTCTGGATGAAATAAAGTCATGCCAAGTATTTATTTTATTGTACAACAAATATTTTAGAGCTACGAGAGTTACGGTTCTTGAATTTCGATTTTTCTGTAGAAATCGTTTTTCAGAGTATTTCGAGTTGGCATCAAATGTAAAAGAGAGGCGAAAGATACATGAGGGACATTCAACTCATAAGTTGAAAATAAACTAACAATGCCATGGCTTAAAAAGAAAAAGACCAACAGACAAATAATAGTACACAAAGCACAATATAGAAAACTAAAGACTGAGCAACACGAACTCCCTCTGAAAACTGGGGGTGATCTCAGGTGCTCCAGAAGGGTAAGCAGGTCCTTCTCTACATGTGACACTCGTGTGTAAATCAGTTTTTTACTTTTAGTTAGTATCAAGAGTACGTTTATATTAAGTCATTTTGATATTTTTTTGTGCTTTCGGGGTGAATCAATGAACCGCTAAAATTGATGTATGTTCATCTATATTGTACTGTTGCTAATTGACGTTAAGTGCCTATGTACCACTTACCAAGAAGAAATTGTTGACGCTGAAAAGCACGATTTAAATGATACAAAGTACATTAATATTTCAATTTATTCAGTTTACGAAAAATGCATAATATTTCATCGTACACAATGTACAAAAACAAAAGATACAACCTTCAGAATAAGTAAACTGAAGACACTTTTTGCAGTTTATTTAGCTTTTTGTACCTGCCTGCAATTAATTTCATAGAGTTTAAATCAGGCAGCAGCGTAAACTATTTTTATATAGCTTTGAATTTATAAAGGTAAAAAACCTGGATACTTTATATGATGTATACATATGCCAGTGTATGCCTTATATTTTTGGATTTTTCCTCTGTGAACATTGTCCCAGGTTAAATTGACGGTTTAAGCAACCGCAAAAATGTTTCACCTAGTAGTTGTCGTTTGTTATTGTAGATCATTTATTTATTGTTTTATTGAATTTACATTGTATATAAACCAATTATTTTGTCATGCCTTCTAAAGCTTGGTAGGTGGTATGGGTTTTGCTCATTATTGAAGGCCGTGTGTTGACCTAAATATGTTAACTGTCACGACAGTTGGTCTCTGAAGAACGTTGTCTCATTGTCAATCATACCACATAATCTTCTTTTTGCTATTTGGAAAGGTTCGTTAGACATTAACAAAAAATATTTACTTTGACTTCAGTTTTATGATTCATTTGTAAACATGGACTTTTTGTAGATATGCTACAGTGTACATGCATGCAGTACGATTATTTAAGGTTTTCAGAAATCAGAGTGCTATCTCTAAGAGGCATTAGCTGTCGACGTTTTATCATTATCGATTCGAATAAAAATCTCATTGTCTTTTTATAAAGTAGCATAACGTGTATCAAAATTAAAGAAAGTCCAAAAGAAACAAGTATAAATGCAGTAACTCGTCATAATGGATCATATGATCGTGTTAATTTTAGACATATGGCCATCGAGATAATCTCTGCGAATGTCGATTATTTGTTGGTCTAATGAAAACATAAATATAAATATAAAATATAAATAGACAAGTATGTGAATTCATACATGACCATATTCTAGGTCTTTTTGATTTCAAGTCATGAATTAAAAAAATATCTAAACCATTGTTTTAACCTGTATAAGAATATATTTAGTTTGGCCTAATCAGTTACCGAAATGTTTTTATCCGGTTGGCTTTCTTGTTTTTCTTTTCCATGTTGATATTGCTTTGTATTAAATAACAAATCACATTTCGCACATGTGTATCCCATCTCCAGCTTAGTTCTAAGTGAAGGACTCATGAATACGAATTCAAATGATGTTGAATTATTGCCTTGTAAGCCAATAATACATCAACATTTTTCTTAGCTAGTTTTGACAAAATTAAAGTGTACTGACTGCTAATAGCTAAATATTGTTCCACAGTTTTTATAAATGTTTGAAACAAAAAAAAAATCATTTTTTTTTTGTATCTTATTCTTAGCTGATGCCCCTACATCCTAGTTGCGTGTTAACGTGTTCTTTAACTTTGTTTTTGTATATTTTTAACCTTTACTGTTTAGTCCATTTGGTACTTTTCTTTGGACGTGCAATTTCCAGCATTAATGGCTACTTTGTCTTGAGTTCTAATAAATTGGCAATCATTTCATGTCAAACTATACCTTATCCTAAATTGTGCTGAAAAATTCAAAATACCTTTGATTGCATATTAGAGCCCACTGGTCCCTGGAAGTTTGGTAATACAAAACCGGTACTTCCGATCTGAACAACAGGGCAAATGTGCCCTCCAATCTTAATTTCTTATGCATTTTTTCATTATTCGTAGTAAACTTTCAAAAATGGTCCAACAGTGATTCCAAGTCCTTAAGCTTTCATTTGATACCTAATTTAAGTATTGAAAAAGTTAAAGCTATGCGTAGGAACTATTTCGTATGAAATATGTACTACTTTCTTTCTGTTCTTCCTGACAGTGCC